CATGCAGAGGGAGGAATGGCACTCGCTCAAGTGGTGAAGGGGCTCTCTGGCCACGCCGCACTCATGGCTCCCAAACTCGCTCTCCTGCTTATCCGTAAACATATGAGTAGGGTGAGGAGCAGCCCCTCATCCCCTTCACTCTCCTCCCCACCACAGCAGCTGGACAGGATTGCCACCGAGCTGGACCATCGCTGCCCCATTTGCCTGGACACCATGGATGATGCCAGCTATGCAATGCTGTGCCTGCACCGGTTTTGCTTTGGCTGCATCCAGCAGTGGGCTGAGAGCAGGCCCACATGTCCCCACTGCAAACAGGATGAGATCCTTCAACCGCACTCCCAGCAATCTAAAGATGTTTTGGAAGTTGAGAGTACACTAGAGTTCTCAAGATCATGTAATCAGCCTTATCTGATTTGTTCTTCCATTCTGCATTTCCAAAGGCAGAGACACAATTTTGTTTCTTGTTGTTAGCATCATGGAATTTGTTTCAGCATTGGAATCTTTAAAGTCTGTGTATGGTTTATGCCTTGAAGGTCCAGATGTAGATAATTACCCAGTATGATACAAAAGTTCAGTACAAAACTCCACACACCACATAATCTTCTACAAGGAACCAAGACCTGGTACTCAATATCAGAATGCCTGAGAAAGTTGCCTTGCTTTCTAGTGACCTCTGGGGAAAATCAGAAAATTCATACTTTACACAGTGTTTAAATCAGTTGTATAAAATTCATTTTCCGGGACATTTTCAAACACTGAGTTTACACATACCAGTCTCCCAGCTGAGAAATCTTGGCCATGAGAAACCTGCAGGCAATAGTCCCAATCACCTCAAACAAGATCAGTTCACACACAACACTGGAGAAATGTTTTATGAAAACAGATTCAGTAAGGTGGGGAAGAGCAGAGTGCGTCAACTAATTAGTAAGTACAAAGGAAGGAGAATGGAAAATGATGTTCAGACATAGCAAAGTATGCTTTGTTATACCGCTTAGAAAATGGGGAGGCATGTTCAGGAGACCAGTTTCACCTCTGTGAGAAGTAGGTTGTGTTTATGCAGTGGAAATTTCCAGTATTTCTGTATGTAGCATAGGATAAGCTGCCTTTCATAAAGAAAGTCGCTGAACAGAGTAAAGTTGAGACTGGGGCGTTCCGACCCAGGTAAAATTGGCACAGGCACTAGGTAAGGTAATTGTATACAGTAGGGGAGGTACAGGACTGAACTAGTGTGCAGATTGTTGAAAATACTGTCCTCCTATTGTCGTAAAAAGTACAGAATATGCCCAAAGACAATGGGTTGGCAATAGACATTGTACGGAAGCATAATGTAGCTATGTGGAAGTGTAACGTAGCTATGGAAGTGTAATGTAGCAACAGCATCAGAAGATTGATGAACCTGAGACACACAACCATGAGTGCCAGGAGAGGCTTTACCTGTGTCAAACCCAGGATATATTAAGGAATGGATTTCACTGACTGGTTGTGCAATTTCTCCCTTGTCAGTAGGGGGTGTGTGCCCATTATTGCAGTAATGAATAAACTGCTCTTCACAGAGATCTTTGCCTGATTAGAAATTTTTGATCTTGAGCGTGCTTCTCACACCTCCTCCACAAAAGAAGGATGCACCTGCAGATTCACAGTTATTTCTGAATCAAGTTTGCTATTCACCGTAACCCTGACAGATCTTGGGAGAGACTGCAAGGCAACCAAAGCTACATAGGTCATTCTGCAAGTAATGCCTCCTATTTATTTCCATGGAAACTAGAACAGTTAAATAGAGCACAATAAGAGTGTTTGACAGAGCACATTCTCAGCTATAAAACACTATTTTTCAACACAGTCACCACCATTAGCTGAGCAATTTCACCATCTATGAGAGGAGCCTGCATGTTGTGCATATAAATACCTCAGCAGCAGAGGTGGCCCACTGTTGCTGTCAACAGTGCCCATCTGAAACGCATCATCACCTCACTGTGCCCATACCCACTGTGTGCTCTCCATCAGGCACTGATCAATCTCATGGGTGTCATTTTTTCTGCATGGAGGAGTTCAGTGACACATCTTTGCTTCATCTTTCCATGTGAGACCCCATTCTGTCAGACTGTCCCTCTGCTGCCATGTGTCACATGGCAACAAAATGTAATGCCATACTGGCAGGAAAGTTCAACCTCTACTCCCATACCACCAATATCCATTTCTGGCATTGTGGACCAATATGATAAAATAGGAGGCATTACTTTTGGAGCAGCCCTCATACAGTTAGGGACGGGACAATTAGAGGGACAGTGAAGCCTTCTGGGAGCATATGGAATGCTTGCTTTTCTCAAGCTCCCTGGCCCGCAGAAGGGTGGTACTTCAGCATGCCCTAGGAACTTTGCGCTGCTCCAGCTTCAAGCAAATATGTCTTGGAACTAGAGAGAAACTGGAGCTACACCTGGCATTTCACAGAGGCTGCTCTAAACAGCTGAGTAGCATACGCAGAGAGAATAAGGCTCTGTTTCCATGCCAGTCACGGTTTCAAGATTTTATTGTTTGACAGCCCATCCACAGTGATTGGTACGGATAAAGATGTGAAGGGTACAAACCACTAGACTAGTCCACAAGCATCAAGCCAAGCCCATGTGACTCTCAAAAATACCTTGAATGAAACTGGGTTGAAAGACTCTTAGGATGCAGCCTTTGCAAGCAAGAAATCTGTCACAATTCATCTCTGTTTTCCTGACAGTCAGGCACTTGGAAACAACCTACAGATGAGTGACATCACCAAAACTGAGTCATCCATAGAACAAGTTCTGATCTTTGTGGTTCATGAATGTCTTATAGTTACCCGTCTCTCAGGCCAGTATAAAAAAAATGATGGCGGCTGTTCCACCCAGCACAGAAGTGAAACTCAGGAGTAACTGTGGAGGAGTGAACAAAGAGAACTGCCAGACTATGACTATTTTATGAAGGGCAGCCTTTATCTGGTAATGGAAAAAGGGCATGAAAGCTCTCCACTCCCTTCTTCCAATGTTTGCAGACCCCACTGAGTCTGTGCCACAGCTGAGAGGGGACAGCAATTCCACAATGCCAAAGCATGGGCTAGCAGATAGCAGAACATTCTGGTGTAATGCTTTTCATGCCTGCCTCAGATGCACTCATAAGTACACAAGCATTTGCTCAGTTTGTCAGGCTTCCAGTGCATGGCTGTAGCTAAGCTATCCCCCATTTGAACAGATCTGTTCAGATCACACTGAGCCCAAGGAAAATAAGGCCAGACACACCAAGTCTATGAGAGTTTACACCAGCAGATGACTAGTCAGAGAGGGGAGACAGACAGGAGCACATCACCAACCTGTCTGCTATGTCATCCCATGGAAAACAGAATGTCTCTGAGATGTTGGTGTCTTTTGATAAGGAATATGCAATTAATTGATTCTGTCTTCTACCCCAGTGCATAAAAACTTCTTTCCCTGTTGCAAACAGCAATATTCAGCCTCTGCTTTCTTTGTTTTCCTCACCAATCTGAGGCTTTGCTTACGTACAGTCCTCCTGGAAGAGGACCAGGATTTGAGATCCTTGGATGAAAAGTCTGTTAACACACCTAGAAACATTTTTCCTCCTGGAGGAAAGCAGAATTGTGCAGCAGAAGGAGGAGGAAAAATGTGCTTTTTACAAGCAACAAGAAGTAGTGAAGTACTTTCATAAGAAGAGAAATCTGAAGAAATCATATCCTTAGATGTCTCACAGGGGCAGGGATCTGCTGTGCATGCAAGGTGCCAAGGCCTGAATTTGCTGTAAGTCCTCTCACAGGTTAGACAAAAAATTTCATGAGACTTTCCTGTGCTATGAAGCCCTTCCAAGATGAGGGAGGACATGTTTCTCATAAGATGAGTCAGCATGGGCACAAGAGGAGGTCCTGTACAGAGACAAAAAACCATTATCACCACTTTCATTATCACCTAGAACCATGAGTCAATATAGTATGTTCATTTTAAGTAGATAGCAGAGGACCTAGAACAATTTGGAAAGTCTGATGATCAGTAGAAAATTGTCAAAGATTTCCTGGAATGGAATCTAACTCTGTAGAAGTATAAGAAAGGATTTTCCTTCCCCCTCACCCTTTTCCCCCTCCCCTCCCCCCCCAAAAAAAGATAATGAATCCAACGATAAAATAACAATATATTTTTGATTTAGATAAAGAGGGGAAACCTGATTCCAGTGTTGCAAGATCACCTACTGAAAGTTTCTTATTTTGGAGGCAAATATAAAAACCACAAGTAAATAGAAACTGCAAAAACCCAGCAATCAGTTTTTCCTAAAACACACATTAGTGTTAAAGAGCCTGGACACTGGAGGTTAAGTTGTATCCGTCTTACAACAGTGCTACACAGACAGCAGAAAACATTGTGTTTGTAAGTCTTTACTGTTTTATTCCATTGTAGAAGGTGTTGTTTATAAACCTTTATGTACAATCTGGAGCCCTAATAAGCAGGAATTAAAAAGGATTAAAAGCATTACCAGAGAATACTAACCTCTTCCTCCCAGCTGTGTTCATATGACCAAAATACTCTGTTCTAATAAACAAGCTAGTGGTGTGTAAATCCCCACACAAGGCACTGAAGGTGCAAAAAGTGTAACTCAGTTGGGCTCATACAGCTAAACAACAGCTATGTTATAGCAACATTATACACTTCCCCAAAGCATTATGGGATAACATGAAGTCACTCTTCTGCAAGAGAAGGATAAAGAAGACTTTCATTAAAATATCTTCTCCTGTATTGGGCAGGTCAAACCAGTTAATAGTGTTAATGATCCAGGTTCAGGAAAAGGAAGCAGTCTGAGAACACCCCACAGAATAGGTGTCCCACTCACAAAGTCTTCCATTTTTATTTTTATCTTTAATTTAAGTCTCTTTTTTTGCTTTTTAAGGGGAGAGCTCTGCCACTCGGCTCCCCTTACATCTCAGTGCAGCCTAATCATATGCATAGCCAAAGTCAGTAGTGAGAGCAAAAGGGAGTGGGAGAGCTGGTGAGAGCCACTGTGTCTGTGCGAGCTGGTGTCTGTGCGAGCGGGACTGAACCATCCATGGCCCCGGGGCTGAGGTTCCACTGTGATGTAGCCATTGATGATACGGATACGGGGAGGAGGGTCGGTGGCACTGCAAGGCAAGCAAAGAAGAACGTCAGTCCAGACTTAGCCAAGAACTGGCTGAAACCCACACAGCAGGACATTGCTGGCTTCTGTGCCCCACTGCCCATCTTCTGGGCACTCAAGATGCTGGGCATGGTCTCTTATACTGGCTCCATGCTCACCAAAGTATTGGGTCTAATGGCAGAAACTTGCTTCTTCCTTTCTTGAAGGGCATGGGCAGTTCTCACACAGCTGATGTATACAGAAGCCCTAGCTCAAGTGTGAATCAGTCTTGAGGGACAACATGGAACAAGCTGAGGAGGGTGGGGACTGCCCTGAAACACTAGTAGTGCTCAGACTTACCCAAGCAGCCTGATCTCTGCTCCTACACAGGCAGGTAGGTGGGCAAGGTGACAGCTTTCCTAACACTCCAGCTAGGCAGAAAATAAGAACAAAACCACTTGTGCTTCAGAGGAGCATTCCTGCACCAGAATTGCTTTGCTCAGCTCTACAGGAATGAGGCACTTGCTTTCAGCTGAATCCATTCTCCCCTACCATACTTCTCTACGTGTGCACTTTAGTCTGGACTATGCTCACCCCTTTCCTTCTTGTTCCAGGGGTCAGGAATTACAAAGAGTTGAAATGACATCCCCTAAGGAGAGAAAGAGACCCGGCCAGAAACACCTCCTAAAAACAGAAATGTCATAGGGAAAAGATCACAGTGTCTCAAGGTATCTCTGGTGGTACTGAGGACCCTGGGCTAGTGATGAGCATGAGCTGAGTGAGAGCCTACAAAATACTATGCTCCCATTATGGCAGCACATGGTGAAGGAGAGGACTTTTACCCTGCAGGCTGCTGACACGAACTGCCCAGAGCTGAGTGAGCTCCTGCAGTGTTGCTGTGCAAGTTGAGGCTTAGAAAAGATATAAGGGTCTCTCTTTGGACAATGGATTAAAGCCATGAGTGATGCCAAACCTACAAGGCTGATGTGCCTTCCAGGGCATCACGGTGCTGTGTGAAAATGGAAGACAAATTGTGACAAAGTCAGAAGCAAACCTACCTGCCAAACACAACAGCAAAGTCATATTTCCTGCATCTAGTCCCTAACTGTTGTGCTCTATTCTTGCCTCATTTTGGCTAAGTGCATAAAGCAGGAATGCTTTGGGAAATGAAAGGCAATTAGCATTCTTTTTAAAAAATCATACCCTTCTGTGTGCAAAGGTCCCATAGGATGTCTGAGCAGAGAAACCAGCAGGTGGCACAGGAAAGAAAATATACAGCTGTTAACTGACACATACATACAGGAGCATGAACCAAAGCAATTCAGCCAAATCACAGAATCACAGAATTGTAGGGGTTGGAAGGGACCTCCAGAGATCATTGAGTCCAACCCCCCTGCCAAAGCAGGATCCCTACACCAGGTCGCACAAGTAGGCATCCAGGCGGGTCTTGAATATCTCCAGAGAAGGAGACTCCACAACCTCCCTGGGCAGCCTGTTCCAGTGCCCCGTCACCCTCACCGTAAAGAAGTTCTTGTGCACATTTGTGAGGAACTTCCTATGCTCCAGTTTCTGTCCATTTCCCCTTGTCCTGTCTCTACACACTGCTGATAACAGTCTGGCCTCACCATCTGCCCCCCACACCTTAGATATTTATAGAGCTGGATCAGGTCCCCTCTCAGTCTTCTTTTCTTAAGGCTAAACAGACCAAGTTCACGTAGCCTTTCTTCATAGGGGAGATGCTCCAGGCCCTTCACTATCTCTGTAGCCCTCTGCTGGATTCTTTCCAAGAGATCCCTGTCTTTATTGTAATCCAATGCACAATTGCGTTGAGTGACAATTAGGTCACTCAGGCTGCATCCTTCACATTTCCAGGCGTGAAGTTACAAATGCAAGGCTCATGCATCAGGGGCCTGGGAGCATTCCTGTGACAAGGCACCAGGGAGTTCGTGCAAGCAGGAGCCGGGTGTCCGCAGTGCCACCAGGTGGGGCTGTCCGCTCGGCACAGGGCCGCGTGGGCAGCCAGATGCAGTAAGAGCCTAGCGCCTGAGCAGGTTTCCAGCTCAAAGGATGACCTAATTGGTAGAGGACAGAAAAGATTACAAACAAAAAAGAAAGAAGGCGTTTTCTGCTCCCGTATTTATGTCATAGTTTCCTAAACTGTCATAATTAGCTTTGCTTCTACTTCACTACTGTTTTGCACTTGCAATCCAGTATGCTCCCCTAAAACATCTCCAATTCAGTCACAATAACACATCCTCCAATATTCTATCTCCTGAAGGCACTGAGGCTTACTTCAGGGCACCTACTGATGCTCCTGAACTTCACAAGAATAACTGCGTATGAAAAACAGAAGATGCTGATGTGCAGTTAGGGTGGGAGCTTAGGCTGATAAGGACTCCAAATCATTAGTTGGTGTTTCAGCACAATGGATTGTCAAGAGAAGCAAATAGCTGATATCAACTACATTAATAGAAATAAATGTAGTCTGTAGGCTTTCTCCCATCCCTGGAGATGTTCAAGGTCAGGTTCTGAGCACCTGATCTAGTTGTGGTGTCCCTGTTCATAGCAGGGGAGTTGGACCAGATGGCTTTTAAGAGACCCTTCCAACTCAAACAATTCTGTGATTAAATGTTACAGTAAAACACAGTATCAGATGTGATCAATATAACAATTTGTTGAATTGGCATATCTTGGACTGTGTATATGTCTGTCAGTGGGCATGCAAACTTCTACATACATTTGTCTCCCCAAACCATGTGCACTTAGTTTGGAAGGAGGAAGGAGTGAAAACTGCCCTAGAAAAGAGGGAAAAGAGTTTGATCTAAAAAGTTTGACAAAGGCTGAATGCTTGGAACAGAAAAAAATCAAAAGCTGCTGCACCAGTTTGCAGCCTATGAAAGCACTGTATTACTCAAAGCAGTGGTACAGCTGGGAAAAAGAGGCATGATACTCAGGACTTTGGGGACCAGGAAGAAATATGCTTTTGAGAGAGAAAAAATGAGGGTAGAAACAGTTTAAGAACTGCAGGTCTTCTCCATCTTCTTGACCTTTTTGTTCATTTATAGCACCACAAAAATAACATGTTCTCAACCTGAACATGGCAGAAATATAAGAAGAGCTAGAATCAGGCCTGTGTGTTGTTTGACACAAGGTAAACATTAATGTTCACATTCAGCTGCAGACCTAAGTATTACTTGTGAGGGAGAAGGAGTCTTTTTTGCAGGCTGCTATAATTCCTGTAGGTGAGAAAGCTCTTTTGTGTGAAAACTGCCAGGAGGATGTGAACCTTCTCCCCACAACATGCTCCATTTTTCATCTTAACTCAATCATGCTTTGGGTTGTCATTCTCTTTTTTAGATCTCCTGTAATGCCTCAAGGCTTGCATGTTCTTTAGCACTGGAAGAATACAGATACTAGGAATACTGTGTAAACACTGTCCAAATGCAAGGAGCACGTATGCTAGACATGAGAGTTCCCACATATGCAGCTGCTCTTGGGTAAAAATCCAAGAGGCTACCAGTGGACCCAGTCATCTGTGATTAAGATAGGTACTATGTACTTACAATCCCTTGAGCTCAAATGTAAAATGTTTTAGGCAAGGCTTCCATGCATGTTATGCCTGGTTTTCCACCAACCTAACCCTACAGGAAGAAGCAATTTCATCACTAAAAGCACATCAGCCTTGAGTAAATGTCTCAGCAAGAATCATGGTGAGGCAGATCAGATCCTACACCCTCAGAACATATCTAGCTTCTGCAGGAGTTTGGCCTACTTCATTCATCAGTCCAAGCTAAAATCCAATTTGCATGCCAAGCCCACCTCCCCTCCCAGCCGTTAGCTACCTTTCTTCAAAGCGAACCCATAGGTCATTAAACTGCCGCAGTCTTTGCTTCTTCTGGTGCTGCTTCTTCTTTTTGTACTTTCTCTCTACCTTCTCCAGCACGTCGATGCCATCAGGGAGCAGCAGGTGAGGCAAGAGTTCTTCCTCCTCCTCTTTCAGGGTATGCAATGACAGTGGGAGCTCCTGGGACACTACATAAGGGTGATGTGCTGGTGAGGACGATGAAAAGGCTAACAAAGTTTTGGAGAGCTTTTCGCTGGAAGAAGGAGGGAACATGGATAGCATTTTAAAGGCTTTGAGGCAGAATCTTGGTACAGATATCATCAGGACAGATACAAAACAAATGTTTTCTCCAGATAGAAAAGTATGGTTATTTTTCTGCCTTGTATTCCTATTTCCTCTTCCTGAAGTAAATATTCTGACCAAAATATTTGTCTTTAATTAAAAAAAAAAAAAAAAAACTTTGGAAAAGAGGTAATTTGGATCAGAGAAAAAGATGCAGTCTGGCCCAGGGTATAAGAGCAGTTGGGAGTATCTTTGCAAATCTGTAAAGAGACGAAAGAGGAATCATTTTCAAAGTCAGAGAAGTTCAAACCATACTCTTCTAATTTGAATTCCAGCAGAACACAGTCCAGTTGGTTTCTTCCAGCAGTTCCTGTCATGATGGGGATAAAGGGCAGGGATGGGACAACTAGGGTACATGCTAGTCCTTGATCAGTGAATTTCACTGGTAGAGAAGGCAAGCCACAAGCTAGTCCACAGACTATGGTCTTGTTTGCAGAAATGAATCTTGAATATGCTTCGAAATTGCTTAGAATTGGAAATGGCTCAGTATACCACTAAGCAATCTTTTGGACCACTTAATCTGCAAGTAACTGCAAGGAGAGTAGACTAGCAAGGGCAGCATCAAGGCCACTATCATAGGGGAAGTGGTAAGAGGCTGAGTAATTACAGCCAATTACTCCAAAGCAGATGTGAGCTTTGCATGCACTTACAGCGAACAGTGAGGAAATAGGTGTCAGGCCTTTAGCTTTCTAGTTGCATTGGTCCCAGATTTAAAAATGTCTGGTTTAGACTGGCAGCATAATCTGAAAGTTCAAACATGCTGCAGTCAGACTATAAGGGTATTCCACCTCTCTCACATGCCAAGTCTGAGAAGCCTTTGTCATGGTCCCTGAAAACTTTAAGGCCTTTGACATAGTCCCCATAATACCCTTCTCTCCAAATCAAAAAGATGGATTTGACAGGTGCACTGTTTGATGGATGAGGACTTGGTTACAAAATCACACCCAGAGAGTTGAGGTCAGTGGCTCAATGTCTGAATGGAAATTAGTGACAAGTGCTGTCCCTCACGGATCAGTACTGGGACCAGCATTCTTCAACAACTTTATCAATGACATCAACAGTGGCATCGAGTGCAGCCTCAGCAAGTCTGCAGATGACACCAAGTTGTGGGGTACAGTTGATACACATGAGGGATGAGATGCCATCCAGAGACGCCCAGACAGACTCAAGCAATGAGACCAGCAGAACGCCACGAGGTTCAACAAATCCAAGTGCAACTTCTGCACCTGGGTCGTGGCAACTCCCACTATCAGTTCATGAGGTAGGATGTAAGGATGGAGCACAGCCCCGCTGAAAAGGATCTGAGGGTACTGGTGAAAGCAAGCTGGACGTGAGCCAGCAACATGCCCTTACAACCCAGAAACCCAACTGTATCATGAGCTGTATCAACAGAAGCATGGCCAGCAGGGCAAGGGAGGTGATCCTGCCCCTCTGTGCTGCACTGGTCAGGCCTCACCTGGAGTACTGCATCCAGATGTGGAGTCCTCAGTATAGAAGAGATGTGGAGATGTTGGAGTGTGTCCAGAGGAGGGCCACAAAATTGTTCCAAGGGATGGAACATCTCTCCCAGGAGGACAGGCTGGGTGAGCTGGGGCTTTTCAGCCTGGAGAAGAGAAGGCTCTGGGGAGACCTGAGAGTGGCCTTCTAGTATATGTGAAGGGAGTCTATTAGAAGGAAGAGGACAGACTCTTCAGTGGGGTCTATTGTGAAAGGACAAGGGGAGTGGCTTCAAACTGAAAGAGGGGAGATTTAGGTTGGATACAAGAAATAAGTTTTTTACAGTAATGGTGGTGAGGCACTGGCACAGATTGCCCAGGGAGGCCAGAGAAATTCAAGGTCAGGCTGGATGGGGCTCTGAGCACCTGATCCAGCTGTAGATGTCCTTGTAGACTGCAGGGGAGTTGGACTAGATGGCTTTTAAGGGTTCCTTCCAACGCAAGTGATTCTATGATTGTATGAGCCCAAGAGATCACTGAGTCAAGACCCCAGAAATGGCTGTCAGGGCAATTCTAACTCAGTTTAGTGTGAAGGGGATGTTTCAAAGAAACAACCAGCTCCACCCTGATTACTCAAGCTCTGTTTCATAATACCTCAAGTAAGCAGCATCTCCCCACCCATATTACAAGATATGCAGCCTGCATGCAGTCTCCTATTCAATCTCAGCTTTCCTTGCCCACAGTTCTTTTCCTTGTTTGGAACAGAGATTCTATCTCTTTCCATGTTCACAACTTTCTGAATAAACTTACATACTCAATTCACTCCATGAACACAGCACAACACAAATATTTATCTGATCTATAGACTACTTTATAAAGATAAGAGATGCAGAAGTTTTTTGTTGTTTTTTTTAACAGGACAAAGTTGGAGACTGGATTGGACTGGAACTCAGAAAGGTAACAAAAGAGTACAGACCACTGTGCAGAAACATGACTTCAGTCAGTGAAGCCTTCCCAGCATTATGGAGTGTTTCTTTTCTGTTCTGCAAAGCCATGGAGAGCAAGAAGCCCAGTATACGTGTTTTGGCATGGCTGGTGTTTTCAAGCTAGCTCATCACTGTGAACACATTTCCTTGATAGATACTAAAGAAGATCCATCCTGAAAGAGGGTGAGATTGCGGGCTGCAAAATCAAGGAAGAAGTAAATGGAAAATGAAGAGAGTGTGATCTTATTTCCTGCAAGGAAAATCACATGTGAAGAGCTTTATGTGACAGAGACTGGTGCAGAAAGATTTGTGGGCTGTTCATTCCACTCAGAATCCTTGTGATTGCCATAGCATTACTTTATCACCTCTGAGCTGTCACGATACTTCAGCTTTCCTCCACAACATCTCATATCCCCTAACCTTCATCTTCGCTTTATTGATTGACACACATCCTGTTGTCTCTAGGGACATGATTTACCTCTTTAAAGATCCTCTGATTATGGTTCCCTTTACTTTGATTGCAATTCACATGTCTGTCTTTTTATTGGTGAAAATCTCTGAGTGGGCACCACTACTCCTCCTCTGTAGATAAGATTACCTTATTGCCTGCAGCCTCCTCTACCAAATATATGGCCAGAAGATGCTAAAATATTGCTATAGCCACAGCCAGGACAACCTCCAAACTGCATGGCCAGCTGTTTATTTAGATACCTGCAGCATCGGAGCACCATGAACAACAGATACTCACGTACATAATCTCTTCTGCAGCACTACCTACAGGTGATTCTTCCAGAGACCCTTTGAGCAACTGCTAGAACAGGCATACAAATATAGAAATGCTCTCATCTTTCCCCATGGATTCTGACATACTCTTGCAATGGGTATTTCTGTTACCTCAATTGTTCTCCTACAGATCTCACATTTTTCTTGAAACTCTTTGCTACCACATAATTCAGAAATGTTATCACTTTTTTTTTTCAAAGAAAACATTAAAATGTTGTTTTCTCCATGTTACTCACTCAGTCAGCTTTAAAGTCAAGGTTCCAGGAAAGACCTTCTGTTCAGTACCCCCCAGTAAAGTGTCTGAGATGCAATTAGTGCAATTAGTTATGGAAGGCACGGAAGGTGATGGCTGGACAGTGAACTCTGTCAATATGGTCAGAAAAATCAGGTGGCTAGCTTTCCTGAGAACCATTGAACCCATCTCCCTGATGCGTGAAGATCTAGCCTTCCTTCTCACAGTCATCTGCCCTTGATCTCCTTACACATACCTCTTTACAGAGCAGCAGATTCATAAAATCATATAATCGCGTGATGGTTTAGGTTGGACGGACCTTAAAGCCCACTCAGTTCCAATCCCCTGCTGTGGGCAGGGATGACACTCACCAGCTCAGGCTGCCCAGTGCCCCATCCAACCTGGCCTTGAGCACCTCCAGGAGTGGGGCACCCACTGGGCAGCTGTTTCCCTGGGCAGCTGTGCCAGGGCCTGACCATCCTCTGAGTAAAGGATTTCCTACAAACATCTGATCTAAACCTTTCCTGTTTTATTTTAAAACAGGTCTCCTCATCCTATCAACTATGTGCCCATGGAAAAAGTCAGTCTCCGTCTCCTTGATAAACTCTCTTAAATACTGTAAGGCAATGAGTTCCCCAGAGCTTTCTGTTCTCCAGGCTGAACAAGCCCAGCTCCCTCAGCTCTTCTTCACCTGGGAGGTGCTCCAGCCCTCTGAGTTATCTTTGTGGCCTCCTTTGGACCCGCTCCAACAGCTCCATATCCTTCTTGTGCTGGACCAAACTTGGACGCAGCAATGCAGGGTGGGCTGCAAGAAGACAGAGTAAAGGGGGACGACCTCCTCCCTCTCCCTGCTGCCATCCCTCTGTTGATGCAGCCCAGGATGCTGTTGGCCTTCTGGGCTACAAGCACACACTGCTAGCTCATGCCCAGCTTTTTGTCTCCAGAGAGACTGACCAGGAGGGAAATGGGTACTACAGTGATTCTCAATCACTAACACACTGTGCCTTTTTTTGGTGATACTGGTTTGAATACAGTGCTTGGTTGGATCAACTTAATCCGCTTGTCCCTTCTTGGGTCTTGACTGTTACTTACATCCTCTCCTTTTGTCAGTCCCAGAGCCTCTTATCTGTTGCATAAGGAACTTTGGGAGCAAAAGGGAGGTTCTTCCTGCTCCTACCATAGATTAGAAGATTTTGTTTATTCTCAAGTATATATTGAGCTCTCTACGTTTTAAGAAGCTGCTATAACTGTTTTTAGGAATATCTAAACTAAGAAAGTTCTTAAAAACAAAAAAGATGATAAAAAATTTGTTTTTTTATTATCACCATAAACACTGATACACTGAGTATTGCCTAGCATTACTTCAGTATTCAGGATTATTAAGTCTTGTATGGAAGCGCAGAGGCCTTCTCTTTGTCAGATTACCTACTCGCTGGTGGCAGCAGGGTCAGGGGATGCACGGATGTACTTAAGGGGATGTGATTGGGGTAGATAATGCTTCAGTGCAAGTGGACAATCTCAGTAATCACAGAAAAAATCTGGCCTGCCAGAATTTAAATTTCACAGTCTAAAAAAGGCAGCAGAAGTGCTGCAAAGAGAAAGATAGAACAATGCAGCAGGAGAAGAATATCTGTTATTATTTTGCACCGTATCTTACTGGAGCCCCCGGCATAGCACAAGACTCTGCATGTGCCCCTGGACAATCCACATAAAAGAAAAAAGTCCAGTGTTAATCCTAAAAGCCCCTTATCAGAAATGTGAGGAAGGAGGAGCAGAGATGCAAACACTGAGGGAGGGAGAACATTCCTGGTGCAGAGGATGAAAGGGAAACAGTAACATAATTGAGATCAAACCTTTTTTCCAGTGTGGCCTTTTAGCAGTGCCTGTAGGGAAGAATGGAGGTATTCTGAGGGATACAAGGACACTTCTTTGGCAAAAGACTAGAGATGGGGGAGAAGAGCGTTGCAGAGTCTAAGCTGGTGGCAGGTAGTTCAAAAAGCATAGGTAATCCTCTGCAGAGTATGGAGATCATTTGGCATTTTATAGTAAACTGAGTAACTGAGATCATGGAGATAGATGAAGGCACCCACTGATAGGCTGGGGAGAGGCTAAGGGGATAACTCAAAGGACAGCTACAAGACATACCAGAACAGCAAGTATCCTGGCTTATAAATGCAGGAAAGAGCAGAGGACGTGAGAGCTATTACTTACGGTGGGGACAGACTAGCAAGAGACTAAGTGGACCCTGGGCAGCCAGATTCGAGGCTTAGAGTAATATGGAAGAATGAAAAATAGCATTGTAAGAGAAATAAAGTGTTAAAAGGTAAGGCAGCTGAACGCTTAGGAGGAATGAAGGAACACAGAAGCCTGCGTGGTACAAGACAGTGTCCAGATCTGCTGAACCAAGAATGCATATTCTATGGAAGTTAGTTAAAGAGCTAAAACCTCAGAAAAAAAAAGTTTATTTTATCCAAAAAACATACAGGCCAAACCCAATAAAATCCTGCTTCCTAACTTGCTTTATGGAAAAGTAAGCTGCTTCAGCAAACAGAAGGAGCCCAGCTCATTGTTTAGCATATTTTCAGCTGCTACTACCTCTTCATGACTGTTTACAAAACCACCCTCCCTACAAAAGCTCAGCTACAATAAAGGCATGCATTACTTGTTGATGGCTTGTCCAGCTGGGGTGTGCTCTACATCATACCCTTCTCTCCTCAAAACATCGATCACTGTGTTGTTGCCCATGAAGTGACCTGCAGTTAAGAGAAAAATGAAATCAGAACTTAAGAAACAAAGGGAAAGAGAGAGAAGGGCAACAAATACCTTCCTGATCGTAGAAAGTGTGTCACATTCAGAGCATGCAGTATTTTACCATTTCACACACCAGAAACACAGGACCTCTAACAAGGGACTGTTGAATCTTCCCAGGCTTGTTTCAGTTAGCACATTCTGCATTTCTGAAATACAGGTGTGATTGAAAAGCTACCTCTCATTGAGTAGATTAGTATATCCTCATGCTTCTGTAGATTTCTTGGTACAGTAAGGGATAAAGCTGTGAGAGAACTGTTCAGGAGCAGCAACTAGAGTATAACAGGCAGTGGTTCAAACTGGCCTCACGTCTGGCCTCAACATTTGCATCACTCTAGCATCTTTACACCATTAAGAGCACTAGATGAGATGTCAGTCAACATCATTAAGAATTTTTAAATGATTAAGAACCACGTAACTACAGAAAACAAAAACAGCTCTGAACGCCATTAACACAGGTCAACCCTTTGGGTTCTTTCAGTATAAGCCACTGGAGAAAAAAAAAAAAAATCCAATTCAGTTGTGCTAACAAAAGTTTGGGAAGGTCTTAGCTAGCTCTGCTCTAATTCTGTGATTTATGGCTCCACTCTATTTTCAGCCAGATGTAGTGACTGTTCAGCCTGTAATTTGGCACCATAATGAACAAATGATTGCACAAGTGTATAGGGATTTTGAAGGACTCTGAATGCTCTACATACTGACTGCGGTTCGCAATCACTCTAGCACCTCATCAGACAAGGCTGCTGAGAAGCAACAAAGGCCTTGCACAGGCCCTTACAGATCTAGCTTTTTGGAAACATCTGTCAATTTAACAGCCTACAGTAATTAAAATTAGGCTTGAGCAAATGCCTTAATAAACAACTCTCTTGCTTTTATAGATCTAAGTAGTACTAACACTGGTACCTCCAGAAAAAAACATTTTCTGCTAATGTTCTTCATAAATAAATAAGAATTAAACAACCAGAATGCTTCCAACAGACAGGACATGCATGGAGACAGGAAACAAAGTACAGTGATGACACTTACCCCAAGGAATTTCTGATTTTTTAGAGTAAAATAAGTTGGATGAACAGAAGCACAAAATTGCAGTTTCTCATGACACAACAGCAAAAAGCATATGAAATATCAGCTTAAAGCATGATACTTGGATGGTATCACTTGAGCACAAGTATTTATTAAAACAAAGCTTCTCCAAGAGCCTAAGAAATCAATGTAATCTAACTCAAATGAAACTTTTTTAATGTAGCAATGCAATATCCACATAATTGGGTGAGAAAATACCATATTTTCTCACCCAATAACTACATTTTCTTCAAACTTCTCAGTCTTAACTTCTGTTTTCAGAAGAAGCAAAGCTTGATTTTGATGTGGACGTAATTTAACACTGCTGGTGCCTGTTGTGTGTTAATGTTTCAGCCTCAGGTCCTGTTAATATGTGGAAAGTGAGAATTTTGTCATGTCAGTGAAGAGACCTGATGTGGGGAACATTAGTGATTGGAATTAAACTTCGTAAAAAAGTAAAAGTAGCCACTGGAAGTTCAACATTAGGTTCATAAGGCACTGAACTTAGTTGTCATCTCTCACCTTTAACACAGAGGAGAAATACATGCAGCAGAAAAGGGAGAGGTGATTCATTCACCATTCTCCAGACTCCCATGCTCCAGACTTCAGAGAAACTGGCACTTCCAAAGCATTATTAATCCTCTTGTGAGAGTGGAATGGGATAACTTACACACTGAGAAGTGCCTCTCTGCTGGTGAGGACTGAAGTAATGCAAAGAGTAAGCTCAGACTAGGTATTCATCTCAGTCAGGCAGCATTGAACAACCTGATTCCCTTCTGCAGTGGTGAAAGGAAGTGCCAAGGTTCTGAATTCTTATTTTCCTAATACAAGCCCTTCAGGAGAAAGGAGACAAGATACAAAGCAATCTACCCGACAATCTCTAAAGATAACCAACTATCCTTGAGCCAGTTTAAGCACTTAGGGTCCCCACACATTTCAAGAGAAAGCAACAGAACATCTGTTCACATCACACCATCAAATTCACTACCTCTCCTCAATCTTCAGTTCCTGTTGCTCACAGTAGCAGTTTAGACTGGTATTTAGGAAATAGCTACTGCACATGGATGAATCCAATTTCTGTCCATGCTCAGGTGATCTTCTGAAGCAGAGTCTTCACCTTTTAAATTTGACACAGTCATAAAAAAATCTTTTACATCACACTCGTGCAAGCTTTCACAGAGAGCCTTTGCAGTGCAGTAAATTATGTGTACATAATAAGGAATAAGGGAGTGCTAAAATTGTCTAAAACACAACAGACAAAATGAACAAGTCGTGTAAAACACACATGCATATAAATACATGCAGGTATATGATACGAAATTGCTCAGAAGACATGACCAATCAGGAACAGCTCAGGTTGGGCACATTAAAGGATTACGAAATGTCAGTGCTTTCCATCAAAAAGATGGGTTATGCATGCTCCAATAGACAGATCTGGCCTGGGGACAAGAGGACTTACAGGCTCAACCTGAGTTTGGTATAAAATCAAAACATGATTGAAGGTTGAAGGTTTCAGGTACAGGACCTCTCTGATCTCAGGTAGCACTTTCACCCCTTTTCTAGGCTCTGACATAAAAAGAGCCTAGTGGTATGTGAGAGACCTGATCACCAAAAATAACCAGAAGAAAGATGAGAGAAACTGACCCTCCAATCAAGCAGCTAGAATGTAAGGGAGAATTAGCCCAAAGCCATATGACAAGGAGTAGGCCTCTTTCACCTGTTTTCTGTTTTAGCCTAACACGCTTGAATACCCCTCTAAAGAAAAGCCCCGGGCCCTGTCCCAACAGAAGTCCTACTCTTTTCTTTCTGTACACAGCCCTGCATTATCCTCACACCACTAGGTGCAGAGATGCCTCTGAGAGGTCAATTTAGTTAGGCAGGGGGGTGGGGAGCCAAGAATCTCTATTCTTCTGTTTTCAAGCTCAAAGCAAAACTAAGAAGCTGTTGTGTGATCAGCTCAGTCATGCACTCTACTAGAGTGAGACCTCTGCCTCTAATCTGCATTGAAAGGAGATGGCCTGCAGGGATCACAACAAGCAGTATGCCAGAACAGCCATGCTGTGAGTCTGACTTGTGCTTGCAGACTGGCCCACGTACTCACATGTGCACTGAGCACTCCTGAACTCCCTCCAAAGCAATATCTGATCTTGCAGAACACAAGCTACGACTGTTGTCAAAGATTACTGTGAAATGTAGGTCTCTTACTTGCAGCTTTTACTACACAGGGACATTTTCATCTAGGCAACTGCTAGGTTTACTGGTTTCAGCAGAGATTTTTGAACTTAAATTTCAGCAATTGCGAGTTTTTAATGTTTTCAAATTAACAAGGAAAACTTGCACAAGAGAAGCTCAATTTCTGTTCCAGACTTCTTACTTTTCATATATTTTAAAACTGAAGAAAACTGTTCTCTGAATTTCAAACAAATGCTTCAATTCGAGATGAGTTTAAAATATACTCATTTCCTATTCCCTCTTTTAAAGTCATGTAGAAGGGAAGGCCCTAAGAACACAGAATTCTTTATGTCTGATGTGTTTTCCTTAGTAGAAAATCAGTAATTCCAAACTGCACCACATGCAGGCCAGGAACTCAAGACACAGCAGTGCACCAAGACAATAAATCACCAGGCATGCATATAAAGAAATAAAAATGCTTGTTAGGAAACCTGATCTGAATTGCTGCTCCTCAAGAAGTGGTGGGAACAGCTACAGCACAAGAACATAACAACACAACCACAAAATGGTAGAAGTTATTCTAGCCAATGGGGCATGCTAAAGCAGAATGCTTCTCTCTTTGATAGGCTGGGAGTTCTCGGATGGTGCCAGAGACTGCATGGGTCGCTGAAACAAATATTTTCAATACTGTTTCAGATGTACAGCTCTTACAGTAATTTGAGAGCAATTAGAAATATTTTAGAATAAGTTTCCTAGAAATGCCCGTGGGAAGGATCATCTGCTATCTGCTTTCCTAGACTGCTTCCAAGAATGGCATAAATTTGATTAACATGCCTCAGAACAAGACACCTGTAGGTGGCTGGATTAAAGTTACTGGCCTGAGGAAAAGGCATGATATGAGGCTGCTGACTATGCTATACACGAATAAAAAAAAAGAGAAACTTCAGTAAAAATCATCACTTGACTGTGAGTCACAAAGGACAGCAGCTTGCTCATCCCCTTTCTGTGAGCCTTTCATTGCGTTACTCTTCTCCTACTCTTTCAGAGGTGGACGCCTTACAAAGCTAAAATGAGTTCCCACTAAACACTAAACACAACTGAGTAGGTAGAAAGTACTCCCTTGGTCAAATAGGCAGGGTCCTGCTAACAGAATGGTGTCCCCAGGCAAGAACCATTACAGGCAGATTTGCTTCATCCTACTCCACCGTCTGTTATTTTCTGACAAGATCTGAATTGGGTGAAACAAAATCAATTCTACAGAAATAAAATAATGCTTCCTAAATTTTTATTAATACTAACATTTTGGCACATGGCCAATGGATACCTCATGCTCTTTCAGTGACAAGCAAAGTCTATTTTTCAAACATATCATCAAATGACCTGGCTTAGCTCCCATTGGACTAAGTGGGCAAAGAGAGAGAACCCAATCAAGCACAGGTTTTACTGACAGAGATTATCTGAAGTAGGCATACTGCAGCAGCAAAATAAGAGAGTCCTCAGCTTTGTGTACCCATGTTACCACCAAACTTAGTTTCTAAGAGATCCTACGCAAAATTGAAAGAGGCTTTATGTTGTGGAAAGGAATGCTGTTATCCACTAAGCAGAGATTGGAGGAGTTGTAGAGAGTGATGAGGTCTTCCCTGAGCCTCCTCTCCAGACTGAACAATCCTGGTTCCCTCAACCACTTCCCATAAGACTTGTGTTTGATACT